TGAGCTCGACTGAACCCAAACAAGAGCCGCTCTTTTCCGTCGCCGGTTTGAGTCACTCACACCGGTGTAGTGGGCTCCGCTCCGTCCTCCTCTTGCTCCTTCACCTCCTCCTCCTCCTCCAGCATGCCGAGCATGCGACAGACGTACACGGTGACGGTACCTGAGGAGCCGCCGACCGCTGCGTTCCCCTTCTTAAAGCAGGAGATGCGGAGAAAAGGCAGCATGTCCGGCTCGGTGCTCGTGTCAACTTTCGTGGGGCTGCTGATAAACCAAGCCAAGGTAAGACCGAGAGCGCAGTCCGGCTATTTCCACCGGAACATGCACCAAATCCCATTCAGAAATCATCCAATTTAAGCTCAGCTCTCTCCCTACACACACACGCACCGCGTTATAGTCTTGTTATTATTAGACCTCTAATGCTGGTAAAGCGCTTTGAGAATGGATGCTATGAATCAACCGACCCGTTTAATACTGACGCTGGTTACTGTGTGCTGTATGTGTCAGTGTGCGGGTGTGAACTGAATGTGTATGTGTGTGGTATCCATTATCTGGTGTCACTAAAATACACTGGTTGGTGGCACAGTGGGCAGCGTGTGTTTTAAAATGTAAATTTAGTGTTTAGGAACTCAATAATAACGTTTTGGTACTTTGATGAATATCCGGACAAACTACTTTGCAACAGTAATAGTCAAATGAGTTACAACAACACTAAACGTATGAATTCTACCACCACGTGTCTGTATTACATAAGATGTGATGCAAGCACTCATTCACAACAATGCAGACCTGGGGTCAGTAATGTGCTGTACATGGAATGTACATTTATCACTTCAGTGATAACATGTTTGAATGATGAAATATCATCTGGTTAATAAGGGGTTAATGGTCGTATAGACAGACAGACCGACCGAGTGTTTTATAGTAAAGAACCCACCTGTTTATGTTACTGACCGACCGTGTGTTATGTATATGTAGGAGATGATGGTCGTTGAACATTCAAGTGAGTCATTAGCAAGAGGTAAGCCGTGCTCTTAAGCTGCTGTTCTCTGCTGTACCAGGATCAGCTGACCCTCACTGGCAGGTCACTGCTTATATAACCACAGTTTACTCCCCCCCTTACATTACATTACACCCAGTCTCTCTCTCCCTCTCTCTCTACACTGCTATTATGTATACGCTTCCTTCACTTTCGGTGTGTATGAGAATGTATAAACAAGTGAGCCTTTATGACAGGTCTCCAGTTATTCACACTGGGATATACTGGGTATGTACTCTGCCTCTGGCTTTTGTCATGTACAGTAGACACAGATACATATTTGTGTACATGTACTGAAAATGGAATCTCTGTGGCCCTGAGGCCCTCATGTCTTTGTGTGGAGATTATATATAAATAAGTGCCTTTTAGAGCATCTCTTAGGTGCTTATATACACAACAGGGTTTTTTAAAATTTTATTTTACATGTTTAATTTACTCACTAGCAGTTCTTTGCATACAGTACACAGAGATTCTCTTAGCAGAAAAATAAATAAAAAATAGCTCTGTCCAAATCATCCAACTGCATAAAACCTACTTTTTTTCCCAAGGAGTACAAAGTTATGTTTCGTTTTTGAGATAATGAATGCTTCAAACATTTAATAAGGGCCCCGAACTAAAGCACATATAAAAGTTGGGACTGCTAGCTCCCCCACTTTGGAAACTCACAGGTTTGGGTTGGTCCCCAGATTGGGTGATGGTGTCTGTTTATGGTGAGAAATCACATTAGAATACACATTGATACTTCTGTCCAGGCCTGGAAGCTTGACTCTCTCTTAGTTTTTGTTGCCACCTCTAATCTGTATTAACCGAAATTGCCTGACATCCATAAATGCGAAGTATTAATAAATGTGTTTCACAAAGGCCCTGAGAATTCTTTACCTCTGAAAGTTGAATGTTGTCATACAGTAATGGTAAATCCTCTGCTTAAAGTGTAAAGTTTCACTGATTGTTTTGCTTTTGTTGCTCTGGTGTCTTCATGAAAGCTCTGTACTCTACTGAGCTTAAAATCTTAGTGCGAGTTTTAGAAGTGAATTTTCACACTTCTGGATTTAATTTCATTTATTAACCCAAGCCAAGTTATTCTCAGAAATATGATGTTGACCGTAGTCATTTTTAGTGCCAAAAATGAATTTTTGAAGCATGCAGTATTTGGCGAGAGTTCTTTTTTAGAGAGTCTGAAATAACCTGGCTGTAAATCTTTGACCAGGATTTCACGTGTGGATTTGAGAGAAGTGTGTTCACCTTGTTCCATATTAGTACATGGTTATTTTCAGTAGACGTATCAAGGTCTGGTCTGCGTTGTGATTGGTTAAAAGCACAGGATGGAGCTCTAGTGATGTAATGAATACGTTGTGAGCTTGTAGGACCAGCATTGTGTCACTGAGGTGTATTTTTCTTCTTGTCCTTGTTGAGACCCATATATACCTGCCATTGAAGTGTGACGAGGACCAGGACTGTTATATAAGAACCAAAGCAATGCCTTACACACACACACACACACACACATACCAGGTTTTCTCTAAACAATAGTAGGTTTCATTACGAGGCTCCTGGAGAGTGACGACAGTGTGTGAAGACTCTTCGCTCTGATGAACAGCAGCGAGGGGCCACTTCACAGGATCACAGCCTATGTTTATGTGTATTTCTCAATGAGACCTGCTGCTCTGAAATAGAATCTCTGTTATTTTCACCGACATAGACGCTGTCAGTGAGATTAACGGAGGCTAACCCAACACTAGCATCGACCGGTCTGATCAACTGACTCTGCTGTTTCCCTGAGCATATTAGGTGCCAACATGTGTTTTTACGCAGCATCAGGGTAGCGTGCGAGTGAACCTGTCTGGGCTCACATGGGAGAACATGGGCGAAGCCTCAGTAGTGAGGAAAGTAAATCAAAGAGGGGGGAGGGCAGGGAGAATTTGTTTACCGTTAGCCAAATGGAAAGAGACAGTTCAGAACAGATTGTTCTGTGGTTCTGAGGCGTGTTTGCCAGCCTATCAGCGGTGGGCATTCTGTACTGCCAGGTGGACCCAGGCATCCTGCTGGTGGTAGTGTGAAGTTTGGTTTACAGCCACAGAGACACAGGCAGAGCACAGGCTCATTATTATTGCCTCTAATAACACAGCACTGCCAGTACTGGACCAATATGACATTGGTTTCAACATTTTTAATAGAGCATACAAGTCCACAAAAGCAAAGTATAGCATAGATTTATATTTATTAATTAAAATGACTAAGTCAAATGAATTATCCACCTTTCAAAATCAGTTTCAAATATATGGGAATACATGATTTAAATTAGATGAATCACAGTGTAGTTCTGGATTATCACAATTAGTAGTATTATTATTCAAAACAAATTCACTTTATATAACAAAAATTTTGTTTTTTTCCCCATATATTGTTGGAACAGGAGGATACACAGCAGAAAGTAGATTTGCTTTCAAAACTTTTGTGAAGCCCTTGTCCTCAGTATTAATCGCTCTGCAGTCACTCGTCAGACTCACTCAGTGTGAGCACTCGGTGTGATGCAAGCCTGTGTGGTGCAGTGTGTGCAAATGTCAACACGTGTGTGTCGACTGTGTATTACAGCAAAGAGAAGTGGACAGAAGTACTTTAAATGGAGGGACTGAATAACTAAAATGTCAAACAAGTGCCATTGTACAGCCGGTAATGTCAACACTGGGCTACAGCGGCTACAACTGCCTCGGCATAAAGCAGGTGTAGAGTAGAATCTATTAGATTGAACTTTAAGTGTACATTTATACTCTGGAATTAACAACCCCCCGTGCGATACGTTAGACTCTGCCCCCTGAACTGTAGGGGCGTGTTATTTCCTACCTCATGTTCAACCTGTCTCTGCCAGAGGAGAAGATTAGTTAGAACATCAGCAGTGAGTGAGTGGTCGGAGGTTTGATTCTTGAATTAATGAATCAACAAATGAACAGTTTTTATTCCTGCCATATACTGTACGTTAGAGTTTTATTTGAGGTTGGGAAGTGCATGAAATATTGAAGCCCAATATGGGGAACAAAGAATGTCAACATTAACGGGGTCAGGGACACGACAGCATGCAGCTGGATTTGAAGCATCTGGAATTAAGATGAAATTCTGATCCATGACCCATGAATGAACCATAAAAAAAAAACTGGCGTATTCTCTCTTACAAATCAGTGTTTATATTAACATTAGAAATGTAATATTGTGTAAAAGATTACTTAAAAAACAAGGTTTAACTCATAAAAATAAAAATAAAAACAACCTTCAGTTTCACTGTCACATATTTGATCAGTTGCAGCTGATATATGTTGACGGTGCATGAAAGCACGTTTGCTCTCTGTCGAACCAGATTCTTCAGATTATTCGTGACGTAAATGTGCGTTTCATCAGGCCTTATCTACATCGCTGCTCTGGACGTCTTAGAGGGACTCGTGTTTGTTTCTGCTGCACGTCTCCTTCCATCCTGTTGTCATTTTTCCTCTGTGTTATTAATCAATCAGCCAGTATCAGGATTGTTTGCTGTACATTGTGGTCCTGCCTCCTCACCCTGCGCTGACCCACATCTTCTGCCCCAGCGATGCACCCTCTGTCCCTCAGACAGGAGCCCCTAAATCTTTAATATTAAATGCGCTCTGTGGAAAGGCAGGTCTTATTTTTAAAACATTGGACACAAACATTGGCACGCCTTCTTCTTCAGAAGAAGAGAGTAAATCCATTTATCAGCTGTTAATCAATAATGAATTAATCTATCATAGTTGATCACAGTCATCTGTAAAATATTTACTGTCCTTGTAATTTAGGGAAGATGTCATCTTTGTTTCACCTCACAGATTCTGAATCACTTATAAAACTAAAGATTTGAGTATATCAAAAACCTTAGGGTTTGGAATACACCTTTTTTTAAATTATTCATGTTCTGCCCTGTTCATCTACCTCACACACACACACACACACACGTGCTCGCATGTCGTGAGGTTGTTGTTTGCAACAGTTCAGATCATTAAAATAGAATCCTGTCTAGTATTGGTTTGGTGAGTCAGACCTTGGCACAGTGGTGTACAGAGAAATATGTTGGGAATGTGTCCCTGTACCATGTGATAGTGCAGTCATGAGGTCCCAGAACACAAGTGCATAAAAACAAACAGTACCAGCAGCTGGTTGAGAACTGTCTGCTGATATCACTGCTGCTGTTACTGTTGAAAATTAGATTAGTGTAAAATAAATAAAACATCACAAACGACTATGGAATATGATGTTTGAATATTATAGTAACATGGTTCAGACTGAGAAAACGTGACACTGTTATGGTATGAATTGTTCCCCTGAATCTTTTGCTTTCGTTTTAATGAGAAAAATATTTATGGTTTCATTTGAAATTCACTGCGCATGATGTATGCCTTAACTTTCAACAGTTTATATAAAGTGCTTAAAAAGTTCGGGGAGATGTGAGCTCAGCGAACCTAAAGTTGGAAGACGTGACTTCCTCTTGATAATATATAGGCGTCTGTTCCTAGTCTTATATTAACTCCTAAAATAACTCCCTTCTCTTGGTGGTTCACAGCCTGTCGCTCTTTTTCTGTCACACTCTGAGTCACAGCCCCAAACTGCAGCCCTTCAGTGTGAGGTCACAAAGTTTTCTGAATTTAATTCTGCAAATAAAATGTGAAGATTGTTACTACTGTGACCGAGCTGGGATGTATCTTCTGCAGATGTGACGTTCAGACGGCTGCCCAGAGATCAGCCAGTTGCCAGCGTGGAAGCTGGCAATTCTGAAATTTTCTGCTATTTTTGGGACCAGCTGTGACATTTATCTGCAGACTGAAAGTCATGAACTTACAGTTCGGCATTGTGTGTGTGTGTGTGAGGAGTAATCCTGCTTCCTGTCATAAAAGAGTCATAGCTGTGTGTGGCTAATTCCGTAGAGTTCCGTCGAATTCAAAGTAAAGAGGATTGAGATAAACCACGGTTAATCATGGTGAAACTGTACATTTCATTCACCGTGCACCGTGCGCTGCACTGATTCTCATCTCATCCTGTTGAATTAGGGACAGATGGTCAAGGCCATTTATATAATGGTGAAATGTCCTTACTGTATCAGCAGACTTAAGCTGCAGGGTCATATTACTGATGAGCAGATAAACATGCATTATGAGAGACGTCACGGAGCCTGCGGCGCAGACGAGCACATGGAACATGCTCATTTTGACACAGCAGTGATCTCTCCTCTTTCACCGATTCATTAGGGATGTATGAAAATATTACTGCACTGAATATATCACTAATACCGTCCATCGTTGAAGGATCATTACTTTTTTTATATAGATCATCAATGAAGTAAATTAGTATTACTGAAGGATATTTTTTCACTTTGTCCCACTCCGGCCTGGTACCAAATGACCTACAGACAAGATCCAGTCCCCAGACCGAGGGTTGGGCACCCCTGTTCTTACAGCACTGAATCAATGTTTTTTTAAATGAACTATTAACATGCAAATATTCATGACATTGGCAAAAAAGCCCAGCGCTGATACCAGTCAGTGTCCTGTCACAGTGAAAACACCGAGAGATAATGATGGCGTGCAAGAAACAGACTTTGACTTTGTCACACGGAACAATCAAAAGTGTAACAGGGCGACGAGAACCTGGAGGTGGTTAAAATAATGACGTACATGTTCATGGCTGCGTGCTCCAGAACCCACTTATCAGATGTGTGTGACTTTCTATGACCTGCAGTAATCTCTTCATCTCTGGACCTATCTGATGCTCATCCTTCTTCACTATTTCCTTTTGGGGTTTTTTTTTTATGCAGAATAATAAATCTGTGCATTAGTATGATATCTTTACACCATGAGACACCCACAGGTGGTGCTAAACTCCCATTTTTCTACAGTTTCTACATTTCTTTTAAAAAATGTGTATATATTATTGTCATATTAAGATGCACCAGTTCTTTTTTCTGAAGTTCTGCACAGCGTTTGGTGCAGACTTTTCAGACTTAACAAAAAGATCTAGATCTCTGCCGTCTAGGAGTGATCACCAAGAATGTTTCTCTCTGATAAAATCTCACGCACAGCATGTACAGTATTCACCTGGAATAACACAACACAACACACACACACAGCTCTGCATGTCACACACTTTTATTATCATACACGGTTCAGTCAGGCAGCTCCTGTGGATCACCTCTGTGTAGTAAATTGATGGAAAACATCATTTTGGGACTTTGATGTCTTTGAATTTAAATATTGTGATGTCACTTCCCCTTGATAAATTTGAAACGAAACCTTGTAAGGTACTGTTGAAAGGTTCCCTGTTGTCCATGTGATGCGACAGCAGGAGGTAAAAGTCAGAACCGCACGTGCACAGTGTGAGGCCAGTCTTTGAAGACGTTCTAAAGTTGTTCCCCTCTGTCTTTCAGAATTCAAAGAGTGCCCAGGGCCTGGTGGGACTAAAGAATCTCGGAAACACTGTAAGTATCACAGCAATGGCACTGACACTGGACATTCAACACCTGTTTTCATTTCTTAAGACTCTCGGAAAAAAAAAAATTAACAGATGTTGGATTTGATTCTTTACACCTTATGATGTCAGGCAGTGGCACCTCTGACACCCTGTGGATGAGGAGGAACCAGGTGAACAGACTAGAAGTTTTTTAACATGTGATTTGCTAAAATGTGTTCATTTGGAACCAGTGTTCTGAACATCAACACCTGTTCACCCGTAAATGTTGTTTGTTTGAAGACTCTCCGTTCTCAACAACTAGAGCAGATGGGTATTAGCATTTCTTTCATTGTTTAGCTGCCAGCTAGAGACACCACACGTGAGCACATCCTGTCACAGTAACCTTGAAAATAATAGCGTTACTGTCACCAAACTATTATTCTTATCAAATTTTTCTTAATCAGTGATTGAAGAAATACAATTACTTATACCTTATGTTTTAATTTATTTCTTTTTTTCTGTTATATTTCCTGTAGTCGGTCACATACATGCGAGAAAACCTTGAATTCTAAAGAATAAAAAAGTGAAAATAGAAAAGTGTGAGATGAATTTTAAATGCATGCATCAATCATGGTAAACCCTGCTGCTGCTGCAGCCATGACCGCGGGACTTCATGAAAACATGTAGTCAGTAGTAGTTATCTGAGTAGTTAGTAATTACTGAGTAGTAATCAACATTGTCTTCATTCTCGATAAAGGAACGGTTACTGTTTTGATTTGCTGTTATCTCCATGTTGATTACATGATGGTATCAGCCACTCAGTCAACCTGAAAGGCTGGTCCACAAAACATTAAACATTTCTCAAAACTCAGTCAACCTGAAAGGCTGGTCCACAGAACATTAAACATTTCTCAAAAAGTTTCAATGTCCTGCAGAAGTGAACTTGCAAAAAAAGTGTGTGTGTGTGTGTGTGTGCATATTATTGCATATATATTGCAACCTCACAGAGAACTGAACTGTGGCCCAGTAACAACCTGCTCACTCTACCTTGGTCACTGGCTAGAAGTCAAGTGTGTACATGTGTCTGGTGTGGACACGTGATGGGAGCAGAGTAAACATTTTTCCACTTAGAAACAACTCCACCATTTACAAACGAAAAAATAAAACAAAAACCCCAGACTGCACTCCAATAAACTCAATTTTAACAGTGATTATATATATTTTTAATCAATGTTTTTGCATTGTTTATCCTTTAATGTTCTGTGCTATCAACATGAGCTCCACCTGAGACCATAGAGATGTTTTTCTGTGTCTAAATCAACCGTGGACCTCGTGCTGATGTTGTTGTCCTGCCTTCCTTGCAGTGTTTCATGAACAGTATCCTGCAGTGTCTCAGCAACACACAGAACCTGCGAGACTACTGCCTGCACAACTCACACCGCAGAGACCTTAACAACAACAGCCGCACCAACACAGCCCTGATGGAAGGTGAGCCGCACGACACCGAGCGCCTGAAATAAACCAGAGCTTCCGCCGCCTCGCTGTTTTTATAGCACTGCGTTCAATTTGCATCAGTCACTAAAGGACATGGAGGATGGAGGGGATACATTCATTTTTTGTTTATGTGGAGGAAATTACTGGATGTTGTTTGACCACACTTGTCCTTCTAAACAGAATTTGCCACACTGATGCAGACCATGTGGTCATCGTCCAGCAGCGAGGCTGTCAGTCCGTCTGAGTTTAAAACTCAGATCCAGAGATACGCCCCCAGATTCGTTGGATACAAGTACGTTTTCGTGATTAGACGTAGTACCGTCGCCGACGTGTCCACGTGCACAGTATTTGTGGTGACGGTGAGCAAAATCGATTGACCTCCTGTACGTGTGCTTCACAGTCAACAGGACGCCCAGGAGTTCCTGCGTTTTCTCCTGGACGGTCTGCACAATGAGGTCAACAGGGTCACCGTCAGGCCGAGAGGCACCGTGGAAGACTTTGATCACCTACCGTGAGTAATGCACCTTAACGATGATGATCTGTGAAACTGTGAAGTGAACCCAGAGGAGAAGGAATGCATGAATTCTGTCTCTACGCCAGACAAACGTACGACCCTACAGTCGTGCCATATTTGTGTTGTTATTTTGTGCCACAGAAAAGGAATTTTCAAAGTAGATGAGTGACAATAAAACTCTATTCTGTTAAATTTGATTCTAAATCTTAACATTCATGGCAACGATGACAAAGAGTTTCCACAACCACATTTTTTTTTTCAGAAAATATTTTGTATTTGTCTGTTTTTCACAATCAGCTGAACTTGAAGTTTGGACAAAATAATGACCTTGAGGTTTGAGAACAGCAGATTCGCAGTTTTCCAAACCTGAACAATGTCAGAAATTGAATAGAATCTCAATTACCAAAGCTGACAGGTTGCACTATGAATAAAAAAGATATCAAAAGCAGCTTTTGCTCATTTGAGATTTTGACTTTGTGGAGAATCAGTCAATATACAGTGAACGTGCAAATATTTACAGAACAGCCGACTGTAAAGAAAAACCTGGGTTTGAACCAGTGAACTTCTTACTGTAAAGACGAGTGTTTTAACAACATCTGCCACAGTGTGACCCTATTGCTTTTGCCATCATGCCCTAAGGTTTTTGTGAGATGACGTCAGTCCCTGTGTTCAGTTGGTCACAGATGGGATTAATGCTCTAATTCGGCGTGTATGTAATTATTAGTTATCCAAGAGCAGGGTGACAGTTAATCTGTGGCAGCTTTTCCTTTGCCCTGGAAACAGCTCGTCTCTACCTAAATGCTGAAAATGACACTAATGCCATATTTAATGTAATGTAGGGCAAGATCATAAAAACATTTTTTAAATACGCCCATGTCTGCTCTGATTGTTGAAGTACCACAGTATTATACTATATATATACATATATATATTAATATATCTCTATTACTCGCAGGGATGAAGAGAAAGGGAAGAAGATGTGGAGTAAATACCTGGAGAGAGAAGACAGTAAAATAGTCGGTGAGTGAAACTGACTTTTCCTTTGTAACAGCTCACAGTAACACAAATAGGAATAGAGCACATACGTAATACAGTGGTATTTTCTCCAAGTCTAAACACAGGATGTCAGTTGCTGTGGCATCTTTATCTGACGTCATGTTTTCTGCTCTGTCAGATGTGTTTGTGGGGCAGCTGAAGAGCTCTCTGACCTGTAGCCACTGTGGTTTCTGCTCCACCGTCTTCGATCCTTTCTGGGACCTCTTTCCACCTATTGCCAAGGTTAGTGGACAAAGACACACACACACACACACAGATACACACACAGATACACACACATCAGAATGAACAAGTACGCATTGTTCACCTTTTACATAACTTGTTTCAGAAGGTTAGTAAAGACAAATGTCAGCACAATCAGTGGTGCAGAGGTGACATTTGGTGTGTGTGTGTGCGTGTGTGTGTGTTTCCATTCTGTCTTTTCGTGGTTGGCTCTGGTGGTTGAATCTAAATAATTAAAAAAAAAAATCTCTATATTTTTAACACATGCTTTCTCTTTTTCCTCTGTTTCTCCATGTGCTCTGTTGTGTGTGTGTGTGTGTGCGTGTGTGTGTGTGTGCATGCTAATGTACCTGCGTCTATGTTTGTGTCCAGAAGGGCTACGGTGAAGTGAGTCTTATGGACTGTATGCGGCTCTTCACCAAAGAAGACGTCCTTGATGGGGACGAGAAGCCGGTGAGTGTCCCCCTGTGAGAACCAGTAAGAGGATTAACTGGTCCTCAGACCTTTGCGTTCACAGTGCAGTTTATTCACGTCGATGAATATTAACGAGCAGTTGTCTTCATAATTTAATGAGCTTAACAGCCCTGAACAATAACAGAGATTTATTTAGTCGGGAATGTTGTGTTCGAAGGTTTTAAAATTCAACATATCAGCACAAACAACTGTAGCTGTTTGGTTTTGGAATAAATCTTGCTGTACAGACACTGCCACCTTCAGGTCTAATGTAGCCTAGGCAGACTAATCAACCATTTTGATCTTAAGGAAAAGACAGACTGGAAGAAAATATTTATTTACAAAAGTCCAATATTACATATATGTGTTGTAAATCAGTGTTCCCAAAATGAGGACAGCTCCCCCAAGTGTTGTTGGGGGGTGCAGCAGCGCAGATATTACATTGGTCTCATAGTGGAGAAAAGCAAAGGTTGCTTATATTGTAATGAGATTTTTTTTTTAAACTTTTTTTAGTAATTGCAGAGTTATAAAGTTTTTTGGTGTTTTGAGGTCAAAGCTGTGACTGTAGTGACGTAGGAGGTGTGGGGGGGCAGTCTTGGCTGCTGAACTACTGTTGTAATTAATCAAAGACGAGCCTTAGATAACTCTGTATACTCACTGAGCCTCTCTACAGTTTAAATCCTGTAATTCATTTTTTTTATTTTTTCAAGTATAACTGTGATTGCGGAGCTGTCTGAACAGTGATATTTTCTGTGTTTTCCTTACAGACGTGTTACAGGTGTAAAACCCGGAGGAGATGCACCAAGAAATTCACAATACAAAAGTTTCCCAAGATCCTTGTGCTGCGTATCCTTTCCTCTGGTTGTCGTGTTTCAAGACTCGTGTGTTTCATTCAGTGCCAAGAGCGTGTGTAAAAATAGACATTGTCTTCCTGTTGGAAATGTTCTCCTGTCTTGGAATCTCCTGTTGGAGCCTCCTGTTTATTATATTTCCAGTTTCACCATCAGCCAGACATTTGTTGGAGGGTAAAGGCGATCAGTCAGGGTTCTCATCCATTTGTGCTGTTTAGATTACACATACACATACAGCTTTCACTAAGAAAATAGTGACCCAGGTCATACATACTTGTTCCCTGATGTCAATATTGAAACAAAAAGGTTGCTCTTTTTGAACAGACTTGCTGTGAAGTCGCCCGTTGCTGGTTCACTGCTGCCTCTGTCTGATTTGTCTTACACCCTACTACTATAGATAGTATCACATGCAGCACTTGAGTAGAAATATAAATAAACTGCATCATACATCATACAGTATATAGGTCCATCTGAGCAGCACATTATTTTCCATTGTATGATAATAAAAGTAGGCCTCATAAATATGTATGATATTGTCGTATTACGTGATTTCCTAACAGGCTGTGGAACTGTCATGTAACATCAGCATCTGTAGATGTGCAGTGTACAGTATACACCATCAAACCTCTTTCACAGTCACTCTTGATCATTGTTGCTACTTTGATATCATAAAAGCCATGTTGAGACAATGACAATGTCAAGTTCACAAGAACTCACCGAGAACAAACACAAACTCATTCACATCACACTCAGGATCAGTCACTAGCAGTGTCGTCTCCCATAGAAATATGCTTTATAATGAATGATCAACTACACATGAAGAGCACTTGCTCCTTGACTCCCCCTGCTGTCCAGACCTGAAACGCTTCTCTGAAGCGCGGCGAACCAGCAAACTGTCCACATTTGTTAACTTCCCCTTGAAGGATCTCGACCTTAGGGAGTTTGCATCTGAAAACAGCAGTAAGTCCAAATCAGGTTTTACACTTGAAATAGAGTTCAATTAAATTAAATTTAAAAAAATCTTTGGAAGAAGTGCTTTCAGTTAACGTTTTTGTCTCTGTGCCTTTGCAGTAAATGCAGTCTACAACCTGTATGCAGTGTCCAATCACTCAGGCACAACGATGGGCGGTCACTACACAGCTTACTGTCGCAATCCCAACACGGGAGAATGGTACACCTTTAATGACTCCAGGTATGTCCACAGACGTCAGACTTTTATGTACGTGATAGTGTCAGAGTTGGGTCTAAACATCTGCCATAACTGAATGATCTGATGTCTGGGTCCAGTTCATCCAATGACCTTGAACTGAAGGTCATGGGAGGAACTGGAACTTGAGAATTAATCTTGAAGAGACACAAGTCAACAGTGAGCAGTCTTTCTAATGTGGAAACCCTTTGCAAGGCTTCAGTCATCTTGCACTTTATCTAATAATAACATTATCACTCGTCCCCTCTTTTTTTGTTTCCCCCCCAGAGTAACGCCAATGTCCTCCAGCCAAGTGCGCAGCAGTGACGCCTACGTCTTGTTTTACGAGCTGGCTTCCTCTTCGCGGATGTGAAGATACGTAAAAAGATGCTAAACCGTTCTGACTAACGTAAGGACGGATGGAACATGCAAGCGTCCGTGGAGTCAGGGCCTACTTTGGACTTGTGTTTGGACAAATACGTTACAGCCTAGTCACACAGATGAAGGTACACACCACTAACCAGCCTGGAGGCTGCTGCTCTCCACACAGAGAGACAGAGGAGCGGAACGCTCTGGAATCCACAGGAACCTGATCAACCAGCCCTGTTCTCTCTCTCTCTCTCTTTCTGTCTCTCTGATACTGTTCAGACCTGGTCTTAACATTCACCCTCAGTAATCCAATTACATGTGGACATTTGCAGTGGAGTGTATATGGAAACTTTGGGTCATTGATTTTATTTCAAATAATAAAAAAAACTCAACTAAACCCAAGGATTAGTGATTAACCAGTGGATTAAAGAATGGCCACTGACAGTGAGGTCTGAGCCAGTGGTTAATCACAGTAGAACAGGCCAGGAGAAGAACACAGCGGGCTGAACTCTTTAGAACCAAGCTGAAAGTTTTACTGTACAAAACATACTGTACAGAAATCACCGCAGTCTGTTGGAGTAAATAAAACACAAGGAAGAAACCGTGAGAACACTGTTAATGATCTTAGTATTAATTCTTCATTTTAATTCTGTGACCAGTCAGTCTTCTCTGAAGCTCGGCTCTAATCCTGCTCCAGTTCCTCACCGCCTCCGAGTCTAAATACTGGAGGTGGAGGGAGAGCCGCTAACAGCTGAGTTAGAAGAAGCATGGAGATCTATAGTATAGATCTATAGAGAAACAGAAAGTGACCCAAGTCTGCAAGTGCGGGTTTTTGTGTTTCAGTCTACATTAAATACAGGGTGATGACAGGTGTGGTGTGTTTTTTATGTATTTGTGTTTCCATCCTTGTGTTTTTTTTTGTTTTTTGTTTTTGCAATGCAACAGCCCTAATTTATAGTCACATACTCATACACATACTTTCTGATGGTTTCAGTTGTTACAATTGTAGTTTTTCTTTTCTAACAGTGTACAGTCTAACTCATTAAAAACAACCATGCTATCAGTGTGGCTGTTTCATCAGCCTGATCTGGTGTGTCACTGTAAAGCCTGGTGTGAACACAGTACAGCACTGTCCTCATGTTAAAACCAGGTCTGAACTCTTTCTGTCTTTACTCTGGTGCACTGTTCCCTCTGAGTGGAGGTGTGTGTTTAAACTACGCGTGTGCGAGTGTGGGTTTGTGTGCATATGGGTACAAGGCTGACACAGGGTTGTGGGTTCACACCTGACGCTGTATCTGTCTCCATCTCAGAAGTCCCTCTCTATGCAGTTGCAAACCAAACTCTTTTGACTGCGCCTTTACTTTTTTCCATCCTGCCGCCTCACTCTAAACTGACTCTTGGCTTTTTTTCTCTGTTTTTGTTTTGACTTTGTTTTTTTTTTTGTGGGGGGGCGGGTAGAGGTCTTATCATCATAATCACTACTTTGGACTGTGAATAACCCTGTGCTTAGAGCGCAACTGTAACAGAACAGCTCAGCGGCCTGCACGGTTATGTTTCTTTTGTTTTGATGGCTTTTTCCCTTCCACTGTGCTGCAGCAACACTCCTGTGTCTCTTGTTAGCGTCTGTATCACTCACTTTTTTTCTTCTCTCAGTGGTTGGGAGGCCAGTGGCACTGTGAGCCTCAACTTTGTGCTTTATTTAACTTGTTTCTCCCACGTGTGGCTGCTACTGACATTTTTAAAGTGCTGTGAACGGACAAATGGACGATCCACCGAGGGTTAACGAAATGAACAACGGTAACAGTAAAACCGTCCTCGTCGTCGACGTGGGGTTGGTCTTTTCTTCCTCTCTTGTTTCATGCCATTGAACAACACGAGAAGAATGTTTTAAAGAAGAAGAAAAAAACACTATATCTGTATATTTTTATATTCTGATGCAATATAGAGAATGTACTATTATTCAATGGTGCTGAAAATGACCCGTAACTGTTTTCAGTTGGTTTATTTACCAGGTTTCAAGAGAGAAAAAAAAGTGATTATTTATGCTTACAGGTGATGAGTATGATGAGTCACACTTTTTAACAGTGGCAGTCAAACACATGAATATATAAATATATATATATACCTATATGAATATAAATAAAAGTCAACAGACAGTAATTTTACTTTGAGTCTGTCTTTTTTGTGTGTAACAGCGCTTTATGGTGATTTTTTTTCTGAGCTACTACGTCAGAGCCCAATGTACAGTACACATGTTTTAACTAGAGCCACGAACCAAAACATTTTTAGGAGAAGTAAATAATAATAATAAGTAATAGTAATATTTAAATTAGCTCCTCAGTTTAGGGGAAGGATCCAGATGAATATCTTGGTAAAATTACTCTTTAATTTGAACATTTTTAAAATTTCCTTTTAAGTGCTTTTTATTCGTCTCAAGTTTGAATGTAAATTGCACCATCTTGTGGAAAGATAGTACCTACCGAATAGTAAATACCATCTGGTTACAAAACTATACTATAGAGTAGAGATATATAGTAGTACAGTCATTTGTCTTATTTGTCTTCTTTAGAAACGAACTGAAAAAAAAAAACAATCGGGATGTTTTGACACACATATATATATATATAAAAAATCCTTGTTTTAAACCTAAAAAATTGAAGTCACAACTTCAATAAATCCCTATTTTTGAGTGGACATCGTGAATGACGGATGGGTGATTGGTACAATGGTAGCACCTGTTGACCATGACGTCACTGCCGCGCAGACTCAGGCTGTAGCTGGAGGCTTTACGGTCTTGTTTCATTGCACATTCAGGAAACGAAGTGTCGAAATAATGTTGACATTTTGTTTTATATGCGGAGCTGTGTTGTTTCCTGGACTTTTCTACACGTTCATTAAATTACTAAAAGCGAGGGTGGGACTCTCGAGTGACGCCGACGCGTGTTCGGTCAGCGAGAGGTTAGCAGCGTCGTCGCTTTTTCAGAAACCGTTAAGATACAGCATATTGTGTTTTAAATTAGTTTAAAAGAGATATAATCATACACATGGTATTTGCTCTCATGGTATTTAAACGTAGCGTGTTTATTCGGTGTTGACGTAAGAGCTATTCATTCATTTATTTCTAGAAAATGTTTAAAGTTGTCCAAAGATCGAGTAAAACCTGCACTAATGTTTATTCCGTGTGCACGTCCAAAGATCGAGTAAAACCTGCACTATAATATGTTTATTCCGTGTGCAGTAGTCCCATTAAAACTCAGCATAAAATAGTGGCGAGTTATGTGTACGTATGTATGAGTTTTCTACCTTTTTTGTCTGTTTTGTTCTGTTTTACCCCATCAGACTGGTGTCTGCCGTTCACGCTACTTTGGCCACAGCGGTTGGAGTAACGGTGGTGACGTCATGCAGTGATGTCATGACTGACAGGTAACAGAAAACACAAAATTTGCTCAGTATCACGTAACAACGTAAAACTTATCACGTAATTACGTGAAACTTATCAC